GAAAAAAACCATGGGCTATAGCCTTGGGTACTTTTCAGATTTTGGCCGTTTTTTAAAAATGGCTGTATCTTGAAAAATCAAAGTCGGAATCAACTCAAACTTTTTACACAGCATAAGTACATCAATATGTATCAGAAAATGTAATAAGGACAGTACTTGTTACTTGTATTTCCTCTTACCCTCCATACATATTCCGTGTCCATTACAATCAGTCAGTGAACAGTTAACAGATCCACAAGTATCTCCGGTCCATGGTGACTCACATGAACACGCCCCCATGTCACATGACCCGTGGTTATTACAATCAGGTTCAAGACACTACATCATGGACACATATCACTGTTGATACCTTCCTGGCACACCTGTACTGGGATTCATGATCACTGTGAGAGGAATAAAACCAGTTATATAAACAGGTTTATATTTTAAAATACTTCAGTACTGTATAGCACTAAAATTTAATATTAGCAAGAGTATATAGGTATTAGTATAAAAATATCAAATTAAAAATTCAAATTGTAAGATTTACATGTACATGTACATGTATAATGTATAATACCCATATCATACATGTATTATTACTGTAGGTCGGGTTATATTTGCAGTGATTAAAATTAATAAAAATATTCAATTAAATACCATGGAAACCTAATGAGCGTTGCTATGACAATCGACCTGGTAACTGTATGTATGGTAACTGTACCTGTGATACTGGATACACTGGGGCTCACTGCTGGACTAGTGAGGGGGAGGGGGAGAAGGTGGAGGTACAAGATAAACAGGTTTTCCTAACCAGTTCTGACTAGATAGTACAGTACATAACCAGGTGCTGAGGTGCTGAGTAATGAGTGCCATAGAGAAACTTCCTTCCAGACATCTCAGCATAACGATCCTTTCAATTAAAACATTAATTAATTAATTAATACTAAATTCTGATCTATATTCATGTACTTTAAAGAATGCTAGTCTCTCTTCATTCAGTGCTCCTATTGGTTTAGATAAATCTCTGAAGACATCCGTTTTTTAAATCTAATAATAATAATAATAATAATAAATCAATTAATGGTTAGATCCTTACCTAGGGTAGTGCTAGTGTAGTCAGCTAGTATCCATGGTAACACAGGATATTGTATGATATCATTGAAACTACGATCAGCAACACTAGAAACACAATAAAAATAATTATGCTGCAATAGTCAAGAGAATAGGTTGCAAGTAATCAAGAGTACAAATGTCCTCTTATAACACAATAATAACAAGTAATTTTCTAACAGGTTGGGACAAGTTACATGCAGAACTTCATGTATAACAAAGTAAGATGCACAGTACACAATGCAAATACACTCTTCTACATGCAACACTTCCTTTTTAGTGAATGAAGCATGCACAGAGTAAAGCTGCTACACTATTGTGTGAAAAAATCACATGCATGAATGATATATTGCATGTATAAACTGACAGTATCTAATGCAAAAGTTACAAAAACAGTGCAATTTTAAAGTATAAACAACAGAAGCTAGGGATATAAAATGAATGCATCATAAAGGATCATTAGTTCAAAGAAAGAGGAAGTGGATATACAGTGAACAGTAAAGTTTAGATAATGATGGGTGGAACAGAATTATGAATAATGAGGTCATAAGAGGTCAAGATATCTGTAGGATCACCCCATTAGCAGTCACTGTATGTTTTGTGTTTGCAAACTATAGTCCTTAAACTGCATGATCATGGCTTTATCTAAGGGACCACTGGCAAGAGCTGAGAAGATACCAAGAGCAACTCTTGTACTACAGACAAGCAAATGTATAGCAGCTATTGACTTTGGGACCTCATCACTATCAGTAGCATACACCACTCCAACAACAAGAGGAGATTTACAAGTTTTAGCACTACACAGTACACTGGAAAGAGTCCCTAATGCTATACTGATCATGAAGGATGTAGT